AGAGAGAGAGAGAGAGAGAGAGAGAGAGAGAGAGAGAGAGAGAGAGAGAGAGAGAGAGAGAGAGAATATCAGAAAGAGAAAAGAGGTCCTGCAGACAACACTCTTACAATCTTAGCAAAATGGGTCTTCTGAATCGTTAGTCACTCTCCTCTCCTGTTGTAATTGATGGATTGATATATACAAAACCTACCGTCTTCTCCCGAATAGAGCCCCCCGACTGGTTGTGGAAGTGGTCGTGGTTTCCAGCCTATGCCCGACGTTAGGAGTTTGGGTGCTGCTCCCCATATAGAGCAGAATTGAGGCCGGTATCAACCCATAACTCTTAGGGCCGCCTGGCTTGCATACATTGAATCAGATATGCGTCAATGAGAACCGAAAAAAGAACTGCATTAGGAGTAGATAGGTAGGTAGCTTCTGGCAATCAATGTAAGTCTAGTAACTGGCCTCTACAACACCCTGGACTACAGGTTAGTTTTGAAAGGGAAAAAATGGAGAAAAAAGAACGTACCCTAGATAGCTTTTGCTGGGGTGGGCGTACCCAGGGTAGCTCTGGGTTGTCATGGGTTGGACATTGACGTTAGCTGCAAAGGCCATTAGGGATAGGACGCTAGACCCGTTTTCCAGCACAATGATTTTGTTTCCCTGAGGATTTAACACACAGAGGTTTGTCGTCTGACGGGTTCATGCCCCGGATGTTTTCTCATACTCTCTATATTGCAGTTCATAAAGGACGCTGAGCCCCACGAATAGATTGGAGCCGTGTTCCCATTAAAAAAAACAAAAAAAAAAAGGGACGCTGAGCCCCGGTTCTCAGCACGTGATGCTCCCCACGAAATATCAGAGCCTTGGTGAAGAAGTATATATATATATATATATATATATATCATCACAAATAGAACTGCCCGGTAAACCGTAGGCAGAAAGAGAGAAGAGGACAACAAACAAGGGGCTATATATATATATATATATATATACTAGCTAAGCGCCCGCGGTGCGAGCAGTAAGGTCAATGCCCGCAAAAAAAAAAAAAAAAGTGAGGTCAAAACCAACTGCAAAATTTGAGCGCAATTAACGAATTCAAGAAATGGAAGATGGATAGAGACATAGAGAAAAGGAGAGAGAGAGGGAGAAAGGAGGGAGAAAGGAGGGAGAGAGAGATGGAGAGATACAGATACTGAGAGACAGAGGAGTAAGAAAAGAATGCAAAAAAAAAAAAAGAACAGGCGAATAACTGCACGTGAGTGTTTTCGTTTTTTTCAATATATACTGAGGAATATATGTTTTTTTTTTTTTCTCAAGTTGCGGGGGGGGGCGGCTCC